TCCTAGGCCTAGACTCCACTGGACCCGATAACGTATCACTGATAACGCCGGGTTTTGGGCTGAGATACCCCGCCAGTTCCCAGAGACCTTTCTATAACACTCTTCAAGTTCGCTTGCTTCCCCGACGAACCCGGCATCGCCGGCACCTCTTCCCTCCCCATCTCCCAACCCCACATTTCGTACTCTCGCGTTAGCTCGTGATGCCAGAACCGTCTCGGAAACCGTCAGAACAGGAGCAGGATCAATCTGAGACGGGTCCACCGACAAACAAGAGGAGGCGTATTGGCCTAGCATGTAATGCCTGTCGGTCACGCAAGTCGAGGTATACTCTACCACCAAGTGCTTTCATTTCTGGAAATGGACTGACATCACGGTAGATGCGATGGACAGCGCCCGTCATGTTCGTCGTGCCTATCCCTTGGCTTCGACTGCTTGTACGAGCCTGGCGACTCTGCCACGAATGTCATTGTTCGCAAAGACTATGTATCCGACCTCGAACAGCGCGTCAGTTCTGTCGAGCATAATCTCCAGCGGTTGAATGATGTTCTCAAGGGCCATCTCTCCCCTTGTAAGAACACGAATACCTCACCATGTCACCATGGAAACATCAACGTTGGCCATTCTATACCTTCACCCGCACCGACTGCACCGACCAAAGCCTCAGCGTCCGCGTCAGCACCATCGCAAGCAGGGACAGGCACTTGTGCGACAAGCCTAGAAGAGCCTCAAAACGAAGAAGGCATCCCCAACGGAATGGCCATGACGTTTGTCGAGGAAAAGACGTCCGCGTTTTATGGCGAAGCCTCCAATATCAACTTTACGCAACTGCTTCTTCGCGCCATCGCGGTTGCGCACCACTCACCTGGCGCACCGTCCGGACTCGACAGAGCTTCTGTATTAGGAGAAAGTGTCGTAGCCAGTGTCTCCCAAAGCAAAGGCTCTCTGGGAGGCTCAGCGACACCACTGGACTCACTACCCACCGCCCTGCCGTCTGTCGAGGAGATGGACACTCTGCTCGATCTATACTTCGACACAGCCGGTGTTGTCTTCCCCTTCATCCACGAGGAAACAATGAGGAAGACATACAATGAGTGCAGACTCAACGGCTTCACGAGAGCTCGCAGAACATGGCTTGGAACTCTGAACATGGTATTCGCCATGGCGAGCAACTTTGACAGGGACTACACCACATCGTCCAAGAAGCGCTTCGAGAGGTCTAACGCTTTCTACAAAAGAGCCCTGGGTCTCTGCAACGAGCTATCGAAGCGTGTTATAAGTTTGGAGATAGTTCATTACCTGATCTTGGTCGTTCTTCACTGCCAGGGAACTTCGCGCTCTGTGCAGGCCTGGAACAACTATGGCCTTGTCATCCGATCAGCTATGGCCCTAGGACTTCACAGCGAGTCCACCGAGAGGGCCCTTGATCCTGTACAGAAAGAATATCGTCGTCGGACCTGGGTGGTTATATACTGCCTTGACAAGGTACTAAGCACGGCTGTGGGTAGACCCGCGAGCATCCCAGATGAGCAGATGACAAGACGAGAGTCAGCATCTGGATGGTCACCGGCGGTTTCTGGCGATGCCGCCGATCTGCCTGGTGATTTCTTAGCTGTGTCATTCAAAATGTACCAGGTGATGAGCAAGTCTCTTGTCATCCAATACGGCGCAAATCTGGATCACGACTCGGAGCCTGATGAGATGGCCCATCTCAAAGCCTCAGGCGAACTCCGCAAGCAGCTCCGGCTCTGGGCAGCTAATCTCCCTCCACATTTTCAACTATGCGATGTCGAGTCAGATGTTCTTTTGCAAAACACAAAAGCGAACAGACTTCGTGTGATTCTTACGATGAGGTATCATAATCTGAGTATTTTGATTCATAAACCACTGCTAAGCGCGACGATTCGACATTTATTCCGACAAGACGATACAGCGAGTGAAGCTTCATCATACTTGATACAGCTTGCCATGGCCGAAGCGCATGAACGTATTCGCTCTGCACAGCTTACGATTGACATTGTCCACTCTGTTATCAGTGTAGATGCAACGAGCAAGAATAACCTCGGAGTATGGTATTTCACTCTCTACTATGGTGAGCTTATCTCTAAGTGAGTTGCAAGGCGGTCGGCTGATTATTTGGTCTAGTCTTCACTGCCTCACTGGTCATCTGCGGGCGATTACTCTGGGCACAACATGGAGACACTGTAGTTGACGAGGCATCCGTCAGTTACATGAAGTTCCTCCTGAGCAAAGCCGAAACAATATTTCTCAACCTGGATCACGAGAATAGTCTCGTGCTGAGTTGTCTAGAATACATCCGTAGACTCTCGCGAATGTGCGGCATAAGAGGTTCGTCATCGACACTCTTCCCTTTTGGTCATTATACTAACATGACCCTAGAAACTGCCCCAGATGCTGCATCAGCTTCGATCCACGATAACGGGTCGAGCTCTACTGCTTCTGCGGACGCTATATCTTTTAATCTCGATAACATGGATCCCTTTCAGCTTTTTGCGTCGGAAATGTTTGATCCTGCAGTTTTTGATCATTTTCATCAATCGCCTGTTGATGGCATGAGTTTTGTGAACGGGTTGTGGGAGGGGTTTCCTTGTGGAGGATAAGCTGTCTAGTGCAACGATATGGCATATTTATAAAACTTGTGAACTATTGAGCAAAATTGATGACATGGTGGCAATGTTGGCTTGACTTTACTTGAATGGCGGCGAACTCATGGCGAGAACCGGTTGAGCCGTTTCCACTAGAGCTATATGTAAGATATTGGCAAATGGCCCGATTGTTTAAGATAAAATGAGTAAAGATAACACCCCATTTGCCTCAAGCTCAATCTCCTATCGATGAACAAAAGCCTGTTGCCCTTACACAAGTCTGGACTTGACTTGGCTCAATGTGGTGTAATGTTATGTCCGCCCGGAATGGGCCGATCTAACTCCCCGGCCTACCCCACTTTCCCACCAATCGTGCAGTCCTTGCAGGGTTGACTAGGTCTTACCTGATGATAACTAATTCCTATCTACCGGATCGTGATTGCGGAGCTTCGGTCCGACTATCAGATAGCATCTTGTATAATACTTCAATCTTGTTATGCGAGAGTTGGACATATTGAATTGAATTGTATCAAGTAAACCGTTATCCTATCATTCAATCTAACCCCGCTTCTTCCTCCATTCCCCATACCATGGCGCGTCTCGAGGATCCAACTGCCCTCACTCAGCTTCCTGAAGAGGCCGCCCGAGTGCGCTACACCTCTTCCGAGCTACAGGACTACTTCAAGACAATCAAGCTTCCCCAGAAGTTTCTAGACCTTGGCACCAGCGTGTTGAAAGACCCCTCGCTCGCCCGAACAAAAGAAAATGGCCTCCCGCTCTTGCAAGCCATAACACGCTATCACACATGCAATGTCCCTTTCGAGAATCTCGTACTTCACTATGATCCTCATAAAATCGTCACTCTCGACCCTACAGAGCTATACACCAAGATTGTAATACGACGTCGAGGAGGGCGCTGCATGGAGAACAACATATTTCTCGGCACTGCTCTTCGCTCGCTTGGCTATGAAGTGCGTAACTGCGGTGGTCGTGTATCACGCGCCATGAGCCCTTACCCAGAAGTTCGCAAGAACCAGAGCGCAACATACGATGGCTGGAACCATATGCTTCTTCTCGCTCTCCTGGACGATGAATGGTACGGCGTCGACGTAGGAATGGGTTCAATGGGCCCTAATCTCCCTTTCCCGCTGAAAGATGGATTCGAGACTCTGAGTATCGCACCGCGTGAGATCCGTATTCAAAGACGGTCCATCTCAGAGACACATGCCACAGATCCCTCCCACGGAACCAAAATGTGGTGTTACGACGTCTGTTATAACCCAGCAGAGGGTGAAAAGACATGGACGCCTGTGTATTGCTTCACGGAAACGGAGTTCCTGCCCCAGGACTACGAGGTCATGTCTTGGTTCACATCGACGAACCCGAGATCATTCTTCACCAGGTACATCACCTGCACCAAGATGATCATGGATGAGGACAAGGAGGTGATTATTGGAAACCTCACCCTGTTCAAGGACACAGTTAGGGAGACAATTGGCAGTGACCGCAAGGTTGTTAATAAGTTTGAGACGGAAGAGGAGCGTATCCGAGGTTTGGTGGAGATTTTTGATGTCAATTTGACGGAAGAGGAGAAAAAAAGTCTTCCCCAGGAGAAGAGACTTGGGTAGAGCACGGAAGAGCTGAGCATGCTTATTTCGATCTCTAAGAGCAGTACATCATGAGTTATAGATGCGTTAACCATCACCTTCACGCCTTCTAAATGTTTAAAATACGTATGAGTTTATCTAGGCACGAACTCACCGTCAACAGCATTTGGCTATGTTCGTGACACCCTGCCATACCGTTGAGATGGCCTTCAATTGGGCCCCCATACTTCAGGTAACATCTTTGATGATAATTATGTACTTGCTCTAAATTTCATGAAACTCCAGCTTCTGTTTCACCTAATGTGAAGCTATTGGACAGGGAAGAATAACTCCCTATGAGATATCTCTATATTCCAGTATCGTTGCTGTCCCCAGAGAATAAAACGAGCCGTTTAGATGCCACTTTCCGACGTGTCCGTTACTTCCCCGCATCTTACTAGGCGATACCAGAGCTTTGACATCGTGCCTGTGAACCCGATGCAGACCCTCTGAACTACCCGCTGGGATGGTCAAGTGAAACCTACTACCCACGCTAGTATTTTGACCCCGCAAACTGTTGACCGATCTCTGGGAACCGACTCTAATAGGGCCCTGGCATCCATAGTCAAGATAAGCATGCCGATTTCGGCTTCTTACCCGGATAAACCATTGACTCTCTAGAATAAGTAAAGAGAACCATACTCGATAGTGATTATTGCAATCATTCAGGCTCTTGAACGCACTGCCACCTTTTACAAGCAATTCTTCGAGAAATTCAAACATTTAGTTGCTGTTGAAACCCAACTCAAACATGGCTTCCTGCCGGTTACCCCCACCAGTTGAGATACCCAACTCACCAAACACCGTCGAAGTCTACATCATCGACACAACGAGCTTCATGAGTGGGTTTCCCGCCTCAACCTTTGTGGGACCTCTCGTACCAGGCTTCGACACAATCAACGTGGGATCATACTCCTTCCTCATCAAACATCCCGGCTCTAATACGAAATATGATACCATTGTATTTGACCTCGGCGTGCGAAAGGATTGGGAGAACCTCCCAGAGACCTTTGTCGCTGGTATCAAGTCGAGTGGGTGTAAGATCGAAGTACAAACAGATGTTGCCTCGATTCTGCGAGAGAACGGACAGAACCTAGATGACGTTGGGGCTATTATTTGGTCCCATTGGCATTTTGATCATGCCGGTGACCCACAGACCTTTCCCAGAGCAACGGACCTTATTGTTGGACCAGGGTTCAAGAGCAACATGATACCTGCTTATCCAACTGTGAAGGACTCGCATGTCAATGAAACAGCGTGGGAGGGTCGAGAGTTAATAGAGATTGACTTCAAAGGACAAAGGGGTCTGAAAATTGGCAATTTTGACGCCTATGACTTCTACGGCGATGGAAGCTTTTATCTCTTGAGTTCGCCAGGCCACGCAGTCGGGCACATGTCTGCTCGGGCACATGTCTGCTCTGGCTCGCACAACTGCTGACCCCCCTTCCTTCATGCTTCTCGGCGGCGACATTGCGCATCACAGTGGAGAGTTTAGACCATCACGTACACCCCCCTCCCCGAGATGATTTTCCCAAACCCTCTCGGCCGGACCCTCTCGGCTTGCCCGGGGAGACTCTTCCTCAACATTCATCCTTGGAAGGACCCAGAAAGACCATTCTTTGACCCGACAACGGAGCCGGGATGGCATCTCGAAGCAGCGGAGGCAAAGGAGAGTATTGATAAGTTGATCGAGGCGGATGCCTATGATAATATCTTTCCTGTCATGGCTCATGATATGACGTTGGGTGAGACGGTGGAGTTGTATCCCAAGAAGGCCAATGACTGGATGGCAAGAGGGTGGAAAGAGGCGACGCGATGGGGATTCTGTGGAGAGTTTACGCCAATGGAGGAGATGGATGATAAAAGACAACATGCACAAATCACAGGATCTCATGAGGTTCACGAGTTGACGGGGCCCGCTAGTTCCAAGATCATGTCGATTGTGCATCTTGAGTACAAGGGGGAGGAGAAGAAAGCAGAATTTCATAGGCTACCTCTATGATGGAAGCTGGTTACTATCGAGTTTTAGCACTTTGCCTAATGTGTAGAGGTGAATGTACTGCTGCTATCATGCAAAGGGCTGTGGAACATCGCGCAAGTTTAGACACGACGATCCACTGGTGTTGGACTTATTGGTCTTGATAAATGTGATCCCCAGCAATTTTGTATAGACAACTATTCGGACTCTCCTCATATACCAGGTCACTCGGCTGCAATTCGTTTTTGTTCATGATACCAAGCCAGAAGAGCACTCGATTTAGTCCGACAGTGTACGTTTCAAGGTATGCTATCTATTTACCTATGTTCCTCATCGCGACTTCATTGTATCGATCTCCCTGCGGTTTCAAAGCCTCAACCAGCTTCCTCATATCCTTGACCTCGTCGTCCGTGAGCTCTATGTCCCCCGATGCAAAGTTCTCAACCAAACGCTCCGGCTTCGTCGTGCCCGGGATGGAAATCATGCCCTGCGCAGCCACCCAGGCAAGGGCAACCTGAGGCAAGGTGCACTTCTTGCGCTTGGCTAGCTCCCGGAAGCCATCGGCGATTCTCTTGTTGGCATAAAAGTTCTCGCCTTGCCACTTGGGAACTGCACAATGTGTCAGTAGCTAACGACAGTTAGGAAGTGTGAGGACTGACTCTGGCGTCTGTAATCTTCGGGGGCAAAGTCTTCGGGCGTTTGGTAGGGGAAGTTCTCTACGAGCCATCCATGCCCGAGAGGACCATAGGCTATGAACTCGATGTCAAGCTCACGGGCCGTGTCGATCAAACCGTCGGTCTCGTGAATTGTTTCGAAAGCGGAATACTCTGCTTGGACGGCGTCGATTCTGGCGACTTGTTCTGTTAGCTTAGTGTTTACATAGGTTAAATTGGATGCTTACTTGAGTTTGCCCTTCGCAATGTCTCAGCAGAGCATTCGGATAAGCCGATGTACTTTGTTTTGCCTTGTTTGCGGAGGGAATCGAGAGCAGGGATGGATTCTTCAAGTGGTGTATCTGGGGTCTTCTGTCAGCGTGTACTCGGCTAATTGACCTCGGGGAGGGTTGCTGACTCGGATCCATGCGATGGATATAGTATAGGTCGGGAGTAAAGCCTAATCTTTCGATTGTTCCCTCGATGTATGTCGTGATATGCTCAGCCGAGTTGGTCACGGATCCGTCTTCAAAAGCAGCAATGCCGCACTTTGACGCAACTATTAGTGGTTAGTGAGAACACATCGATACGACAAGTCGAAAACCTACTAAAAAGCTCATCACGACAGTTATGCTTTCTGATAAAGTCACCGAGAATCTTCTCATTCTTTCCCGGACCATAAGACACCTAGAGGCGATCAGTCAGCAGACAGCTGCCAAGGGGGCTCGACGAGATGTACAGCGGTGTCCCAAAATGTACAACCCTGCTCCAATGCTTTCAGCAATACGGGCTCGGCCTCTTCGTAGCTGAGGTCGTTGCCGAGTGCGAAGCTGATGCCCATGGCACCAAAGCCCGGCGTGGGAACCTGCAAGTCTCGGAAGCGCATTGACTTGACCATTTTGGGGACTGTCTATCTGCAAGGGGCGTGGCGTGTGTAGTGTTCAGCTGATTGACTAATGGTAGGGATTTGGGTGGTAATCGACAGTACCATATGACGACGTTGGACTCTTCCTACAAGGAAATAAGGGTGTTGAAGACCATAAGAAGAGAGTGGAGTGACCGGGTTGCTATTCCCATTACGCGGTGTAATGAGTGCTGATACAGTGATTAAACCGGGGAGCATCCGGGTTTGGCGGAATGCGTTATCTGACGCTAAGCACGACCGGATTTGTGCATGTCAGCAAGACCCATTGTGAGGATATAGGATTTACCGAATTGGGGTAGCATCATTGATAGCTCAGGAAGGTGACCCTAGTGTCGGATATGATGTTCTCTTCCAGGTAAGAGGATGGGTTCGGCGATGCTATTCTCCCCGGGCAATCGCCCCAATGTCCTCAACGGCACTGATCGGTAGAACATCTATTTACTTAAACCATGGATTCAGTTTAATAATCGTAGTCTTTTCCATTTGTCCATTAATACGAAAATATAACCAATGTCAACATACCGCTAACTTGAAATCTTGTAAGCTTACTTTGATCACTGAAAGGCATTACGAAGAGTAGGCCTATAATTCCATGATGAGGCTCAGATTCGTGAAACAAGGATACCTGCGTCAACATGTCGCATCACGGCGCTATAGCTCTCTCTATACCCTCTACCAACAGTCTGTTGCAAGTCAATTATGTTGAATCTGGAAATATCTTTCGCAACCTCAGCGCCGCTAATTCTAACACTGCTTGAGCGGTAGGTCCATTCCGCAACGCCTTCACAAGACAAAAGGCGTGCATCTGCCCTTCAGCCTTGATCACAGACGCATCAACCCCAAGCCCCTGCAGCCGGTGACCAAATGCGACGCCTTCATCAACTAAGGGGTCAACTGTCGACAGAAAGATAATGGTTGGAGGGAATTTGGACAGGACATCGTCTGAGAGGTGTGTTAGAGGAGAGGCCAGTGCGGTTTCTTTATCGCTCTTGGTTGGTATGAAGGTCTCAATCATCCAATCCATTGTGGCTTCTGGCAAGAAAGGACCATCCTTGAACGTAGTGTATGATGGGTACTTCTTATGTGTTACGGTAACAGGAGCCCAGAGAACGATCTGAGCGATTGTAGCGGGCAGTTGTCTTTGCAACGACATTTGCATCATGGCAATGGCCATGTGTCCTTCATATAATCAGCACTTAATCGAGGCGGCCTTATACACAATGTACCTCCGACACTATCACCAGCCAGGGCAATGGTTTTGACCAAAAGGTTGTGCTGCTTTCCATAACGAATCATATACTCGAGAACTTCATAGCTCTGCTCAAACGGGAACGGAAACGTCCTATGTGGTGCAAGCGTGTAGTTTGGAAAGACCACCGCAGCTCCAGTTCGCCGAGCCAAGTCCTCGACCAATACGGCAAACGATTTGGCACTTCGCACGTCAGCCTGATTAATAGAAGTAAAGGAGTCGTCCTTACCTCCCCATGGCCCAGCCGCCACCATGAGTGTAGAAGATCATTGGAAGTGGCTTGTGAACCAGAGCCATTGGTCTAAACAGTGTTACAGATGTCGGGCCATATTTCCCCTGGACTTCAATAGACTGTGTGGCAATGTCACTCGCTGGTACATGGCGCTGTAGCTCTTCCAGATTCTCGAATGCCTTGTCTGGGCCCCCGAGCTGATGAGGAGCAGGTAGGCCATCGATTGCGGCCGCAAACTTTGCGTTGATGGGATCGAGATTAACCATGGCTACTAAATGACCGATGAAAGAGGCTATGAGGGATGTATCTTGCTCAGCGATGCACGTTGACACCCCAAAACGCCAAAGAGGCTTGACACTATAAGTTCTTTCATCTCTTTCGGCTGAGCGCGGTAGTGACGAACTCCAAGGGCTTGGGTTTGGAGGTTTGGTTCAATTGCCGAAGGTTCCCCATTTCCCCGGTATCTCTACACTTCCATGCCCAGGCGTGGAGCCTTCCCCGCATCCGCGACATACGCTAAAGGAAATGGCCCCTACTTATCTTGATAAGGTTCGGCTTGTCGTCTTGGGAGTGTAGGGAGTGTAAGCTGGGCCTTTACTTGGCGGCATGGTCCTTGCATGAGCGATATGGAGAAGTGAGCACTCTCGTTTAGATACTAGTGTTATGTATTCGGTACCACGGCAAGGCTGTCAGCGGTGGTGATATCTTGTGATTTGATACCTAGTCGGTGAGCAGTGAAAGGAATTGCCTTTTACCTGTTTTTATACTGCGTACTATGAAGCAAAAACACGTGGGAATTGTAAACTCGTATAAGTGTCTAGTATGGTGGCCTGTTCAGAGAAATACCAACGGGTTGATGCCGGGAGCATCTGCTATCTCCTCAAAGCACCAAAACTCTGACGTCTTGGTTCACTTTCGATCTGTGGAGTTGATAATTATATCTATGGTGTTCTGGGCGGCGCCTCGTCTAGCAGAGCTTGTAGGGTCATCTAACCGAGCTCCACGGACTAGATACCGGGTTCGTGTTCGGATATCCCGAGATATCAGAGATGGAGCCGGTGGCGGATCTACTGTGCGCTGCAACGCAATGTTACAAGCCGTGTTCATCACGATATCAAGTGAATCCAAGTGAAAGCTTATCTGGAATACAGGTTATCTCAGCTGTGGAGGAATTGCTCGAAGATGAGATATCGGGGAGATGTGGTTTTTCTCGCTGATACAGTGCAGGCTACTTACATGCGTACGCCCGAACCGAGTCGGTGGTTCATTCGCTCAGTCGAGACTCGTCAGCCTGGAACTATCTATCAGTACAAACTACAGAGCTGAGATGGCCCCCGCTTTACCCCAGGGTTTGCAACAGTCCATGCACCGGATCCATAGCCTAGCAAGCTATAAATACCACTATTCACTTTCTTCATCCCATCATCTCCCAGCTGCGCTCCATCCTCCAACAATGGCATCTCCAACAGTATCTTCCATGGATCAGTACACATCTCCCTCCAAAGATGAGAAGATCGATCCCCACCATGGAGACGCCGGTGGCTCTGATACCGAGAAGGGAGAGTCGCGGGAGGTCTTTCAGGAGAACGTCGATGGCGTTGAGTTTAGAACTGTCAGTTGGCAGCGAGCCACTGTGGTCTTTCTCAAGATCAACTTTGCGATGAGTATCCTTGCTATCCCTGGAGCTCTCGGTGCGCTGGGCTCCGTTGGAGGATCTCTGTGCATCGTTGGATATACTTCGCTCAACGTTTGTAAGTACATGTCTCAATACCTTTGAGCTTAAACTAATGGCTTTTTTGTTTAGATACTGCCCTTGTTCTTGGTGACTTCAAGCACAACCATACCGAATGCCACAGTAAGCAGCCAAGTCCCAGTCGAGATTGAACAGTCGCTTATATTTCTTAGCACTAGCTGATATGATGAGCCTCATCTGGGGTCGCTGGGGTCGCGAACTCGTCGGCGTCCAGATCATCGTCGCCCAAGTTCTCATCTCTGCCGGCGGCATAGTCACATCAGCTATCGGCCTCAATGCACTGTCAGATCACGGGACATGCACTGTCGTATTCGCCCTCGTCTCCGCCATCCTCATCACCCTCCTCTCTTCCATACGCACATTTGCTCGTCTGGGCTGGCTGACCTGGTTCGGCTTCATCACATTCGTCCTTGGGGTGTTTATCTTCGTCGTCGCTGTGACGCAAGTGGACAGACCAGCTGCCGCTCCTAAGACGGGCGACTTTGATCTCGGTTGGGCACCGATCGCGTATCCTAGCTTTGTTGTCGGCATGATCAACGCCACGAATATTTTCATCAGCACCTGTGGCTCTTCTATGTTCTTGCCCGTTATATCTGAGATGAAGAGACCGCATGACTATCGCAAGGCTTGCCTTGTGGCTGGCTTTATTGTTGGGACCATGTATCTCTCTTTCAGTCTTGTTATCTACAGATGGTGCGGAATATGGATCTCAACGCCAGCTTTTGGCAGCGCCGGTCCACTCATCAAGAAGGTCGCTTATGGAGTCTCTTTACCTGGACTTATCCTTGGCGTTGGTATCTATCAACATGTCGCTGCCAAATATGCCTTTGTCCGCATATTGCGAGATTCTGAGCACCTGCAGGCCAATACCTTCACTCACTGCGGAACTTGGCTCGGTATCAACCTTGCCCTGGGAACTGCATCCTTCATCGTGGCTGAGGCGGTGCCCATCTTGAACTATCTTCTCGGCTTGGCCGGGTCCCTTTGCTTTGCGCCATTCAGCCTGGTGTTTCCTGCGCTACTGTGGATGTATGACTTCAAGAGCTACAAGACTGGCACGCTGGGTCAGAAGATCAAGTACGCCTTGCATGTACTCATCATGATTCTTGGCTTTTATATGATCGTCGCTGGCACGTAAGTACTCACCTATCTTGTATCTCCATGTGATATACTGACCAGCCACTCCAGCTACTCCGTTGGCGTTTTGATCAAGGAGGCATTTGACACTGGGGCAATTACCAAGGTCTTTGACTGCGCGGACAATTCGGGTTTCGTGCAGTAAGATCGTATGAAAGCACGGATCACAGATTGAATTACACTCGGACATTCGTTGTGTTCTTCTTTGTGGTGTTATGAAGACAGATAGGCGACGGATATAAGGTTTGACATAAGGGTTGGCCTTTGCATTTTGTTACATGTAACGCGTGACTTAGACACAGTCATGGTTTGCTAATTTAATCCATCAACTTCATATATTCTCTCCTACCTTGTCCATCGCCCATAGACTGGTTTTCTTGTAATTGCCCATGTCCTGGTCGTCAAACTCCAGCTTTATCTGATGTAGTCCCAGTGACCCTGTCTAACGTCTTATGTTTTAACACAATGGACGTATATGTTCAGCTACGTCATCAACTGACACCCGGAAGCATGAGACACAGTATCAATATCAGTAAAGAATCTCATTCAAATTGGAGAATATGGCGGTTTAACAGAATGTGCATAATGACCTAATCTATCTCTATCTTCAGCCTCCCAATACCACGATCGACACAAGCCTGTAACGCCCGCCCCTTCTCCTTCTCAAACAGCGACGTGCTCTTGTAGTCAACCTTTCCCTCGCATAGTGCCACTTTACAAGCACCACAAGCCCCAGACTTACAAGAGTACAATACGTCGAAGCCGGCGTCATTGAGCACGTCTAATAGCGTCTTGTTTGGAGGAACCGTCACCGTCTCATGTCTTTTCGAGTCCGGCTCATCGACTTCCACCTCGAAGGGCTCTCCGAGATCACCACCTCCACCGCTACCAAAATCCTCAAAATGAAGCAAGTGGTCTGGATATCCAAGTTCCTTAGCAATGTTCTCGCATTCCTTCATCATGCCTGAGGGTCCGCATGAGAATATGCGTGCGTTGTATGCCCCATCTTGGCTGGGCTTTAGTATGACGCTTCTAATATCGAGTCGTTGACCCTCTGATCGGCAATACAGAGTGGTCTTGCTTTTGGGCAGTTGATCAAGAAAAGCAGCCTCTTCAAGACTTCTGATGGCATAATGAAGATGGTATGGTAGGCCTTTGCTCTCCCAGTCGCGCATCGATGGCAAAAAGGCCGTTATTCCTATCCCTCCGACGATCAGAACGCGTGTGAGACTCTCATCGCATTTTGCATCATTTTCCATCGCCCCAGGATTTGATCCAGGAGACATTTCAATCTCGTCACCAATCTTCAACTCGTTGTGTAAATAAGCCGAACCTCCTCGTGATTGTCTATCGAGCGACACGCCCAGGCTGAACTTATATATGTCGCCGTCGACAATTGAGTAAGAGCGCTCGAATTCTGTTTCGCGTCCGAATTTGACCTGTGCAAATGCATGGGGGTCGAACGCGGGATTGACAAGACTCAAAGGCTCTTTCAAGGCAAACGTGAGCTTCCTGATACGCTGAGCGACGAGGAGAGCGTCGACTAGAGTGTATGTTTTTGGAGCACTCCTTAATCTCTCTTTTGCAATGTCCAGAAAGAGGTCTGTCATAGGAAGCTGTGTGCATTCCGCCAGCAGATTGAGAGAGACATTCCTTGCTCTAATGACACGCTGGACGTTCAACACAGACCACTTGGGATACGGTCTCTCCAGCAAAGAGATTGTATCTCCTTTGCAGATATCGCCAGTCTTCAACACTCGCATGTTCCAGCCTGCTCGTCCTGTTCGTATCGTCCGTTTTAGAGCTCGCGGCCATTTGAATCGGGAGTTGAGTTTGAAGCATGGATGTCGTGGTTCGCTTATTTCGAGAAGAACGTCGTCACCGAGTTTGTATATGTCGCCAATACACACATTGTCGTCATTCATGTTGGTCGTGACAAGATTCTCGCCGTATGCTCCGACATCATATAGATCTGGTTCTGGCGGGTTCTCGGCTCGCCAGTCTGGGTAATGATCTGGGTTATACTGATGCACTGCACGCTCTGTGCCACCGTGTCTGTTGGAAGCGTGTTCGTCGCCCAAAACACCAGTCGCGCTGCAGAATATTGGTCCGTCATGTCCCTGTTTGTAGATAGCAGATGTGATTTCGCCTCCTAGGGCTCCTTTCTTGACTCTTCCCGCTCTGACTTGCAAAAGAATTCCCGGCTTGGGAATAGGGGCATTATCGAGATGTGATACAGTCTCCTTAGGAATATTCGTTGTCGATGGAACTCCCATTTTTCAGGAAATTATGCAAAAGAATTACGGACCATATTCTTGCAGTATGAACCCTACTTCTCATAAGCGTGAGCTGACATGTGTAGATACTCCACTTTTCATAACCCGACAGTTACGCGGAGGTTCCGATGAGGCCGGGTAGCACGCGGAAACTTGGGCGACCCTTCATGGCAAGGATCAGCTTGTGGAACCAACACTCGCCAGCTATAGGGTACGCCATATTGGAACGACGGGCTCGATGAAACCCAGGAGCCATTTAGTCACAGAAAGGCACTCGGATTAATGCGATAAAATGCAGAAACTATGGAGCCCAAGATCGATGAAGCCTGGTACTAGCCATGATAATAGGAATATAAGTCGAATGTGCAAGTAGGAAAAGACATGCGTTAGTCACAAATGTGGTAGGCTGATTTCCATAATAGTTACAACAACACGATACATCGTTATGCTAGAAACGTCACGCAATAAGTGACACGATTCGAAGAAAGTATTTCCCATTGGCTACTAAAGTTTTAGATACTGAGAATCGAATATAAGGCAATATAATATAATACACTTTCGCGACCTCCGTATTTGATTCATTTTTGAACTTAATTTTGAGGAAAATCGTAGCATGGCATTGAGACAAGGTTTGGATTCCGGCTAAATTTTACTGAAAAAGGGCCATATCTACCTCCTAGCTTCTCAATTGCAAAGATTGAATAAGACATAGAATGTAATGGCAAGTTGATATACCTATCAATCAATACGTGTTGTTAGAACATATAGCTATGTAACAACCCACTAGGCATTTATCCAGAGGTAATGGGCCCAGATCCTACCATACTGGCAGAGCTATAAAAGGCTTTCAAAGTGCCGGCCACGAGAAATCATGGTCAGAAGCACGGCAGTTAGAAGTGTCAGTTCATTCCTGTCAAGTCGGTGGGGTTGACGAAAGGCAATATCGTGGGGACAAGGCTCGAGAGACGCAGGTACCGGGTATGGAGTGGATCGATTCATCTCCTGGCTTCAGAATATTCTCATTACCTTCGTAAGATCATATTATAGTCGGCAAATGCATCGGAGAGGCGGTGACGGAGCGATGGGTAAACACTAGATATAAAAAGACGGCTTTGATCTTTCTAAATCCAGTCCAGACTTTCATCGAGCACAATTCACTTTCTATTTCCCTTTCTCAAAAGCAAAAACAATGCAACTCTCTCTCAAGGCACTCGGCCTTGGCCTCTTTCTTGCCCAAGCGGCTCATGGGTACATATACTCCCGCCAATCTCATTGTATTTACACCCGTACTGATACAACAGATTAGTTCAAAGGACCACAGCAGTCACAACTGCTGCTTGCACACTCTTGAGGGGTGGATTCCGGTAAACGATTGGACAAAGGGTGTCTGCGCCATGCGCTGGGGATCTGTTGTAAGTAGCCCCCCTTAGAGTCTTGGAGTAAACATTTGACCAGAGCACCAGGCGACATTTGATGGTGTTAAGTGCATCCAGAAGCCAGGCAACGTCATCAGCGATGATGACTTCTTTACCGCGTGCAAGCTGTATGGGTACAATGCTGGTTACAGAGATGATTGGGAGAAGGGCGCAGGCTATCGCGGTACTTGCTCGTAGGGTTGTCGAATAACCCTGGAGCTGAATCCGATATACAAGTACGACAGAGATGGGACCGAAATTGACATACCTACACCACGGTTGACTGCTCGTTCGAATCAGTGTCCCATGGAACACGGAAACAACGACCCCCTAGACAGTGCTGCAAAGAAATTGAACTTGAAATAGGAATATGCAGTAGCAGCTAATCAGCGCATTATACGTAGTGATACAAATTGTCCGACCAGCATTCATCTGACGAGGTTTCGGCATACGACCTACTTATGTTGGGACGTATAGCTTATGAATGAGAGTAACCTAAATTAGGGTTCTGAAAAGTACCGCTTCAATGCGAGGTTGTGACCAGCCACCCAGATAGTGTTGAGCCACTGCTGCGCCATGCCAGTAAGCAAGGCAGAAAGCCTCCGAAAAGTCTCCGCAGCTGATATATCAGCCTCGTCGCAAACCGATAAACGAAAAACATAGCAATCCACAACGACCACAAGTTTCTGTAACAACGATTAAAAATGACGCAAAATATTCTTATTGTCGGGGCTACTGGCCAACAAGGCAAAGCCACCATCGACGCCCTATACAAGACCCTTGACAGCTCGCTTGGACAGGAAGACACCAGAATCCTTGCGTTAACAAGGTCTATTGAATCATCAAAGGCTCAATCTCTCAAAGTAGAGTATCCAGGAATTACACTTGTGAAGGGAGATACCCAGACGCCACAGCCCATCTTTGACCAGCACCCGAACATCTCATCGATCTTTGTAGTCACAGTTCCGCCAAATGATGAGGCACAAGCACTCCCTCTCATTGAAGCAGCAACATCGCATCCATCAGTTGATCACATAGTCTTCTCTAGTGTTGACCGTGGTGGCGACGAGATTAGCTGGTCGCAACCAACCGAGATTCCTCACTTTGCCGCCAAGCACCGCATTGAGCTACGACTGCGGGAATTATGCAAAGAGAACAACAAACGATGGACAATTCTGAGACCGACAGGCTTTATGGATAGCTATAACCCTGGTTTCTTCGGTCAGATGATGGCGTCCCTTTGGGCAGTGGGGATGCCAAAAGATCGAAAAATGCAGCTGATTAGCACCCATGATATTGGCGTGTTTGCAGCAAAAGCACTTTTGAATCCAGATGTTTGGGCGGGAAAGGCATTAGCATTGGCGGGTGATGAGTTGAGCTTTTCTGAGTTACAGGAGATTTTTCAAGAAGTGGTGGGAGAGGAGCTGCCCCAGACATACAAGATTGTAGCATATCCTATATTATGGATGGTCGAAGATGCGTCGAAGAGCTTCGCGTGGTTTAGGGATGCGGGTTGGAAGGCGGATATAGACAGCTTGAGGGCACAGGAACCTGGTCTCCAGAGCTTTGCCTGCTGGCTCAAAGAGTCGAGTAAATGGAAGTGCGTTTAAGTCAAATAGTTTTTGCAATCATTATAGCTCTCGGACAAGGATGATTGAGTAAACGAAGATCTACATCTAATATACATTATTGTGAAAACGTCTCTCAAGTCTGGGAAACGGTTTTAGTACCGACTTCCAATAGATTTCCCTCCTCTTTTATCATCTGAGTAGAAGTCCTCACGCCTTGCAGGGGCTTTTACCGTTGGCGCCCCACGCACCACCATTATTATCAAGCGCCCAGAACACAGCGCCACCCAAGCACAATCCATCAGCCCATGCCATCTTCAGTGCCAAAGTATCAGCATCGTCATAGCCTATCCACTGATCACCTCCCCAAGTCGCATACTTCTGCATAGCCTCGCTGTCAAGCTTGACGGTAGCTTGGTTGGCTGGTATGGCCTTTTTGATATCACTCAGCACCATGACGCCTGTCGGATCTTTGACACAAGACCCCTCTTCGCTTGGACCCGATGCCGCACAACCTGCTTCTTTGCAACTGGAGGAGGAGAGGGTGTACCCACGGCCGTACAGGGGGATGCCGAGGTTGATAAGCGAAGGATCGGTTTGGTTCGCCCACAGTGGCATGAGATCATTGGCAATGTCAACTATGCTGGCCTGGTAGGTGACAACAATCTTTGTTGGCTCTTGATCAATGCCCCAACCATGTAAATCATAGGCCATAAAGTTGAAGAAGTCGACGTATTTGCCCATACCGGCAGCGTTGAAGCCCTGGATGCTACCCCAGTCCGCTGGCACCGCCGCTGAGATGCCATAATCCTTTCCAAAGGCAGCTCGGAGTTCCTGGACAAGAGAGACCAGGTTTGCTGCATCGCCGGTCGCTGGAAATTCCCAATCAAGGTCAACACCTTGGAAGGAATAAGTCTCCATGAAGGACTTGAGAGACGAGATGAAAGCAGATCGCGATTGCGATGAGGCCGCCATGGAAGACCAAGTCTCAGTTGAGAAACTGCCACCACCAATGGCAATCCACGTTTGCAGCGAGCTGCTCTGCAAAGCGGTAAACTGCTTATAGTAGTCGACGTCTTGAGAGTTCTGAGCGCCCACTGCGAAACTGCTGGTGTCGAAATCGGCAAATGCCAGGATCAGATGAGTCAATCCGTTGGTCTGAATCTGGGAGGGAAGGACAACATCGCAAGATCGGTCCCAAGCCTGCTGTACGCGCCAGTATCCAACGCGACGGCCATTAGTCGCACTCTTACCGCCAGAAGAGCAAGACGGAACTGTAGGGATAGAACAGCTCCCGTATGCTGACTGACAGCCATCACCGCAGTATACACTCGACGTTCCGCAGTATCCGGCCGAGGAGCAGCAGACGTTCAAAGGGCAACGTGATCCATCGTTGTCAGGGCCGCACTGGGCGAGGACAAGATTGGGTAGAAGACCAAGAACCAGAGCCAGACGGCCAACGACTTGAGGGATGGAAAGCACCATGGTGGGAGATACTTGGACAAGGGACAGAAGATCAGAGTGCTAGGCTCGAAGCTTCTTGAGCCTATTATATGTCCCATTCTGCATACCACCTCGGAGACATTTAACCGTCTCAACACTAAGCCCTGTTGATAAATGACCATCCCCACATCTAAAATAACGCTGACGCCAAGATGTCCAACTATTTTCATGTGCCGCAGGACCAAAATAACTGGTCTAGGGAGGCAAGAAAACTCAGTACCCTGACCCCAAGTGATTAAAATACTTAGGCAAGTCTAGCCTAAGCCTAGGACAGTCTTTGCTAAGTTTATTTTAGCATCCCCTTCTCAAGTCACAAGCCTTCGGCTCGTAAGGCGATCGCTTCCGTTAAAGAACCAACCGTGCGGCGCTTAAAGCGGTCAAAGCCGCGCTTGGGGTCCAAAGCTTCCACTACACCAACTGCTTTGATTGGTAGTCGAACGAACTTGAACAGCGATCCCTACTCCACAGTAAGCCTGCGCCAAACTTTCAGGGCTAACCCCAGACAGCGGCTTTCGACGCAATTGGTCTCCTGTAGGTCTCTCCTGATATCTAAAACGGAGCGTTGGCAACAAAGAGCTAGGCGTCTTTTAGACCCTGGACGATAAACCATGCATGACCTTGTTGCTGACATGAGTCTTCCCTGTTGGAAAATATACCTACCCTTCGCTTAGCTGGCAAGGCGAGGCAAGTCAAGAGCACAACTATCAGCGCCACAGCATCATTTGGACTTCCAGTTGGCTATCACATAAGTTGAATAAATTGAAGCCAGCACCTTACTTTAGCAGACGAAAGCACTTGAATGGACGCCATGTCGGGCCGAGCCGCCCACGTTCTCTTCTCTTGGGGGCTGAGTCTATTGTTAGGTACTTTTGTCTAGCCCTATGGGGCAAATGAAGCTTTGGGTTGGGTGGGTGGACCGTGAACTCGGTGGAGCAGGGAGATTATCAAATTAACCTCGGGGCTTTTGCAAGGGTCGTTTCCAAGAGTGAGCCCACATAAAGGCATTGTGCCCTGCTAGGACGGTCGAGGGGGAATTCCTTCTGCGTCGTTTGCCTTTGCCCAAGCCAAACCAGCGACATGGAGCTCTCTCTGGTGTACTTTCTCTGTATACTTTCTCTAGCCTCAGCCTCGTTCCCCTTCAACTTTGGACTGTAAGCTACATGGACCTCTTGTTTTAGAATCCTCCCTGACTAACTGGTCCCAGCTCATCCTCTCCCGTACTACTACCGCGTGCGAAAAATCCCACTAGCAAAGACGGCAACTGTGGTTCCAACTCGGAGACTAATGCGACATGCCTCACATCCACTTTTGGTAACTGCTGCTCCGAGAAGGGATTCTGCGGCAAAACGAGCGCCTATTGCAATGAGGGTTGCCAGAGCGCCTTTGGTAGCTGCTCGTCGAGCGATGATGGGCAGCTTGTGAGCACGTCAGGCTCATGTGGTGCGACGTCGACTAGCAACATCACTTGTGAAGGCAGCTCGTATGGAGACTGCTGTTCTGAGAAGGGTTACTGCGGCAAAAATGCGACCTATTGTGGTGCTGGGTAAGTTCAATCTACTGTTTACTCCAAGGATGCTCCAACAAGAGCGGCATTGCTTTGGGCTTCTCTCTTGGCGAGCATGGCGTCAATTCAGACGGCATTCCCAACTTCTGGCACTCCAACACGCTTTTAGACATCGCTGACATCGATATCAACAGGTGCCAAAGTATGTTCGGTAGTTGCTCATCCAGCGACGAGTCCTCCACGACAACCGCGACGTCTGACAAGACCTCGACCTCGACGTCGGCGGCGTCAACGAGCCTTGGTGCTATATCCATCGACGGAAACTGCGGCTCCAATTCGGATATCAATGCCACCTGCCAAGATAGCACATTTGGCGATTGCTGTTCGGCAAAGGGATACTGTGGCAAGACCTCGGGTATGTGACCCCGCAAAATGGACGAGAATTCCTTACACAGTTCAACAATGCTAACTCCGGTCTCTAGATTACTGCGCCTCTGGTTGCCAGAGCGACTTCGGTTCCTGCGATTCGTCATCCTCATCTGCATCCTCATCTGCTTCCTCGTCGACATCCTCCTCCGAATCCTCCTCGTCAACCCCGTCCACAACCCCATCGACAGCCGGCCTCAGCACCGGTGCCAAGGCCGGAATCGCGGTCGGATCTGTCATCGGCGGGCTCGGAGCAATAGGACTTGTAGCTTTTCTTGTGCTACGAGGGAAGAACAGAAAGTCATCCCAGCAATTGACGGATAGCGATGCGGGCAAACCTAACGACGAGGCAAGATATGAGTTACATGACGAGAGGACACATGAGATGCATGCGCAGAATCTGGTTGAGTTACCTGCTGATTACGGAAGGGTTGATGACCGGGCTGCGGCAGGGTACGATGGGGCTTACAGAGGACATTAAGTTCCGCTTCTAGGTTGTACGCTCTCTGTAGGAAGTGTAATCGCTTATGACATTGGTGTAACGCTGGATATGTATGACCCGATTGGCCGCTACTACAATTTTAATAGATGAAATTAATTATGACAATTCTTGAAACTCACATGTAAAGCCAACTAACTCTACCTACATACACACCAATTCCTTATGCTTGATGTGTCGGGTCATGGTATAGTTTGATAGAGGGATGAGATCTAGCCTTTGTTTACTGTTAGCACTAGATGGGCTCAGGAAATGGAATGGAAATGAACTTGAGTGTATTTTACTTTCATCTCCGAGTTATCAGGTGTTAGACCAGGTTTCAGGGTCATTGGTTCACATGTGGCGCAAGTTGAGGAGGCTACTTGAACGACCAGGGCAACAATTCTTAGAAACTGTAACTTCTCACAAAAAAAAAGTAGACATCAGATAAAGACCACAAGGATGGTGGGTCCATTCAATGTATAGAGCATGTTGAAGAGAGCTTCTTTATAGGTTTCGGCCAAGTGGAAACCATGGGGCTCAAGATATGGATGGCGCTCTCCTTGAGTTACACACTGACAACAGCAACAGAATATACATTCCATAGAGAGGGGAGTATTTAATGGACCTCAGACAATCACCAAGCCCTGTAGCCCAGCTTTAAAGAGGCTTCCGTCCCCAAACAACCTTCTGTCTGAAATACGAATGGATCTTAGATGATCTGATCTCGCGTCTAAAGTGAGAGATGAAGACAGTGACTTCTTCCTCAGTCCATCCCAGCGTAGTATCCATATGAAGAACTGTTCCCTGAGCGTCTTGTTCGAAGGCAGCCTGCATAAACTGCCCTCCACTTCGGTACTTCGGATCCTTTGGCCATCTTCCCACAGGATTCTGTCACAACGCGAATTAGTACTAAATTTATCATGAAAAAACGTCTTACCTTAAAATCCCGCTCCTCAATGTCACAAAATCCTGCTTCTCTCATCCCTTCTCTCTGGATGTTCTCCTCTAAAATCGTAAACGGTCGTCCTATCTTGCGTCCGCCTTCCACGAAGAACCTCTCCCATTGGCTTAACGCACTGCCTGGCTGCACTGTGCCGTCATTGCTTTCGACGCGTGATGATAGCTCATCGCTCTCGATGTAACCTCATGGTTTGAGGCACTTATAAACTTCCTTAAACAGAGACTTCCAGTGTGCGATGCTGGCGACGAGCCATCGCATATGGATGTAGTCAAAGGTGTTAGGCTGGAAGGTCCATTCTTGGGTACAGTCTTCAATTTGGCTGTTAAGAGGTCAGTACGAAATGTACGCAGATGTATCTCTCTAACCGGGTACTTATAACTCTCTATTGGGTGAGATCCAACTAGGTTGAATTGGTGCAAAATCAATCCCAATGACGGAAGCATTTGGGAACTTATCCGCGAACTCCCTTCGTTTCATGTCAGCCTCAGGTATTCTTCAGTGTTTTAAAAATTAGCGTGAGCTTGCAAGGCCCAGATCCCTATCATACTGTTACTCACACTGCCCATTACTCGTATAGTTTACTGTTGACCTACCAGTTCCCTTTCCAATATCTACGGCAGTCTAAAGTATCATGCTGATTAGCCTACCGCATCTAATTCGTGCCAGGGTGCCGTACCTGAATGTCCTCTGGGACTGGTGCCAGGTACAGCTTATCGCCTAAAAAGAGAGTGAGTACACGGTGACTAGTTATCATGAGGGTCAGCTTGCTTCCAACGGACCCTAGACAACCTACTTGATATCCATTGCCTCTTGGCCGGTGTCATCGATGGGTCCCCTTCTTATAGTCAGCCGTGATAACCACGCTTTACTGCCATGACGCACCAGTAATCGGGATTTCCCCGCTCAGTCTGATATGCCCTCCCATTAATAGTTTGATACTGAAGAACACTGGATGTCAAAAAAGCTGTTGAGCTCGCATTGTCAAGAACAGCTGAGTCTTCATCGCCTGGCGCGTTTTCTTCCTTTTGAACCGCATGAGTTAGCGGCAAAAGATGAACCGCATTGCGAAACTCACCTCTGGTAGTAGTGACCAATGCTCTGGTGGGAGAAGACCGCTCTCCGCGTCTACGGGCGATGGTGATGAAAGAGTCGACCCTGAATCGGCACGCTTCTTGCGAGCGGGCGACGACATTTTGGCTGTGCAGTGGTGAAGAGTGAAAAGACAACAGTGGACTGGTGGCCTGAAAATGATCATGATCTTTGAACTCAGATTGCGGAGTCAAACGTCCGATAATCCATGTTTGTTGATATATCGAAATGTGTTCACCCAACAACAGTGGAGTGCTGGCCAATTGTTTGGCTTTGATCCTTGCGACACGTATGCATATGCCGGGGAAATGGCCCGATATAATGCAATGTTGTATACGGTTGAGTTATTTTTCTTCCGGGGCATCTAACATGTGACGATTGATATTTGCTACGGACATCAAATGTTGACTGCTGAGCGACTCGGATTGGTTACAATAGATACAGTCAGTAACCGTATAGCTTACTAGCATTCACTTACAACATCAGTTTCGGTTTCTAGTTTTATCTTTGTTCCTGTATCCTTATATGCATGAAGATAACACCAATGAGGAAAGTGTATAAAGAGACAGGAAGCCCCCTGTAACAAGAAGTTACGGTGTCGCGTGAAGCCGTATGAATAATTGTTGCACGGGTTGATATAATTTCTACCTAGACTTGAGTTCTGTTATCTGAACGGGGCATTATCATTTCACATCAACTGATGCTTTAATAAAGAGCAAGTTAATAAATCCGCTACCCCCGTCGAAACGGGAGGAGACGAGTTTATAGTTTGACGAGGAGGCTAAAGGTGGCCTTGAGAAACCTCGGTCTAATTAGCCTATTATATATGATATTTCTAAGATATGTCACTACTCTTTTAGAGACTGAAAGACGAAAAAGGTGGAAGAGGTGAAAACCTTCCGGGCATGAATCACAAGAAACCTGACATAACATGAGGAGGAAGATGTAAGATACGGCGCATATTTCTCCGGAATATTAATCATCAAGAACAAAATCGTTAAGTGGATGCTTTTGGACCATTTAGATCATTAGATGAGAAACCTCAAAGTTAGTGGTCACATACAAACAGGATAGATTTGCACGGCGTTCTCGGCAGTGCCTCGGCAAGGTTCTGGGATGCCCGAAATCCCATCCATGTTCCCGACATAGAACAGGGAACGCATCATACAAAATCATGAACACGTCATCGATCTCATTTCTCGAGTCCCTCTTTTCACTCGAAAAAGCGCGATGATTGTGTAGGTGGATACATGGGTTTGGGAAGGATTGGGAGGCGACGCTCGTCGTGTTAAGCTGAAAATCCAAGACACGGAGGCAGATGTAGAACGAGCTAGTTTATGAGATCCCTTGCTCAGTTAAAATATACATTGAACACAAAACTGCATCTAAGCAAGCGACTATGCAAGTGGTTGCTTAATAGAAACCTTGGAAAATCCTCCACCTTGCTTGACAAAACGCTCAATCTCTTCCAATGCGTGCTCGGCCGTACCTTCAACTACACGGACCGGCGGCAAGCGAAACTTCGTCCCATAATGTTCGGCAGCCCACTTCAAGCCCTCCCAAGCTCTAGCATGGTCCGCAGGTCGCGAAGGAATGGAAATCGGATGAGGAGCGCCGGGAGGTTGAATCACAAAGTCGTGTAGTGATGAAGCAACGGGGAACTTGAAGCGCTTGTTGTCCCGTATGACCACCGAAGCAATGATAGTATCATCTGCTACAGCTTTAAGCACCTGGTCGGCCGAATTAGGAGCTCCCGCGGCATCGATTGCGTATGAGAACTTCTCAAATCCCGAATCACGCAGAGCTTTGGCGATGGACTCGTGGACATTCTCATCCCTGTAGTCGAAGAGGTGCTCGACACCGAGAGAGCGTAGATACTCGAATTGCGCCGGCTTTGCAGTAACAAAAATAGGAGACACGCCACTTGCGATAGCGAACTGAAGGACACAGTATCCGACAGAACCCGTTGCCCCCCAGAGCAGAAATGGACCATTGTGGGCCAGCCTTTTGTTCTCTGCGGGGAGAGGGAATTTGAATTGGTTGAATATCGCATCAGCGGCTGTCATGGCAACAACAGTCAAACTCGCTGCGTCGGATGGTGGCAGGTTATCAGGGACTTTGTACAGCAAATCTTCCGGGCATGTGATGTAAGCTTGATGAGCTCCGTATTGAACAGGTGAGTACAGGCCCGCAGGCGTGATTCCCGCTACAATATCTCCGGGCTTGTAAACAGAACCCGGCGTTGTTATTTCCAGGACTTGACCGCTAAAGTCATGGCCCATGACTGTATTGTTCATTCCTAGGTTGGTCGCATGCTTGATGTCGGCGGGGTTAACGCCCGAGTATAGAACTTTGATGAGTAATTCTCTATCGCTTGGTTTCGGGAGGCCTTGTCGTTCGATGACCTTAGGATTGTTCTCTGAATCGATGAAGAGTGCTTTGGTGGTATTCGCGACAGTCATTTTCACGACACGAAAGGTGAGTATTATAGCGTAAGTAAACTTCTGGGCTAAGAAATGATTAGACGTCTATGGGACGAGTTTATGTATGCGAGCTGGCCGTTTATAAAGGAATACTGAGATACCAGATCTCGGCGTTCGCAGATCACAAACAGCCGATTATATAATCGGATCAGCAGAGGCAGTACGTGAACAAGACCCGCTTACGACTTATAGGACTGGGGGGCCACGGCGCGGAGCGGTGTTCGCGTGGCTAGAGTTTTGGCTCCCTCCACATCCCGATGAGAAACGTCCCGCTGGGCGCAGTTCACGGCCGAGGTTTGCTCCATCGTGCGCGTCTCAAATAATGGTGAATTTGGTGCACAAGTCCGTGCAACGGAACAACGGAACGTAGGGTTACATTCTCTATGTACAAGCGGCGCATCATTTACGCTCTTAGTATGCTTATAAGTGATACGGTAACTTTCTATCAGCGACCGACTCATCATCGACACCCTTGGTCTTGAAAGGACGTCCTGACGACGATAGATGAAATAGAAGAACTCGTGTGGCTTACGGCATGAGTATTACCTGTTCATACAATCTTCAAGACATCGGTAGATGGAAACAAATGCCCATTCGTCCAGACCCATGTCATACACAGTACTGAAGAATATCAGTTACTCAGACTCGTGAATCAACATAAAGAGTTTCACCAACAGCCCTCATCAATACACAAACAACTCTACTAGTAAGTTAGAAGCACTGTGAACCTTGAGGGGTAGCAGAATGCCTGATCACCTTTTTGTCTCCACGGAAACTTTGCGGAGACATACTATCCGGAGACTTTTGCTCCAGCTGAACATTTCCAACATATAAAGTCTTGTTTGCGAAGGCTCAATATTTCTTAACTTAAACTCTAATCTATCCTTATTCTATTGCCTCCCTTATCACCTCGAATCACTACCCGCTCGATTCTGAGAGACATTTTGCCAATCATGGGCGACAAGATCAACAGTATCAGTGACGAGGCCAAGGCTCTCGGAGAGAAGAACAAAGAACATTTCGAGTAAGATTCCCCAGATGCATATCAGTTGTGGTCTAACATTAGTAGCCAAGTAGCCGCCGAAGTGTTCAAGCATCCCTGGATTCAGCGGTTATGTAGTCAGATATCCAACGAGTTACGACAGAACCTGAGATGGATCGGCATTCCTGACAAGCCGGATCAGTTCAAGGTGCTTGATTATGCCTGCGGCAACGGCGTTGCTTCTCGTGTCAGTGCTCCCATCCTCAGTAATACCAATGTGGCTAATCGTCTTAGGCACTCGCCCCGTATGTCTCCATCGTCCGCGGCATCGACATCTCATCCAAGATGGTTGAGCAATACAACATGCTTGCAGAAGCTGCTGGATTTAGCTCGGATAGAATGAGAGCCATACACGGAGACTTGATGGATCCCGAAGCATCGCCGTCTCCCGAGCTTGACACTCCAGAGTTCAACGACTTTAATCTCATCGTTATGTGTATGGCTCTCCACCATGTCCAGGACTACACAGCCATGATCCAGAGACTGAGCGAAAAGCTCCGACCTGGTGGAGTGCTTCTGATTATAGACCTGGTAGCTTCCGCAGAGAGTGGCTGCCCTGAAGCCATTATGGCTAAGGATTTGTCTAACCATACCATGTCGAAAATGGGGTTTACTGAGGTAGAGGTCAAGACTGCGTTCGAGAAAGCTGGCTTGGAGGGTTGGTCTTGGAGATGGTGCTCTGAGAGATCCCAGGTCCCTGATGAGATAGGCGGAGAACAGCAAGGCTTTTTCGCCCGAGGTTGCAAGAGCGCTGGGGTAAGTGAGGTTAAGCAGGTCTAATAGATTTCCAATTGGACGTAGACAGAATATGATTGTAGTTAAATGTGCCAATGGGACATTGGCCAATATGTATAGGAGCTGTGCATAACCCTTTTAGCCATGAACCTTGGAGTGGGGAAATCCGTCTGGAGGTAACTTTCAGGTGTCATTGAGTATTAGTGTGCCTATGGTTTTTCCAATCCAAGAATGTCAGTGACCTTACTCCTCGCCACTCTGACATCACATGATGATGTCAGAAACCAACATATTTAAGGCTTTCAATACCCGGCAATAAATACTTGACTCTCACAGCCCAAAGCCACAATCATCTACTTGGATGCGCCACGAACAGTCACCATGGGAATGCCATATTCAAAACAAGTCCACGCGGCTTTCGACCAAGTCACGCCGCTCGTGGCAGCTGGATTCGAAGTCCTCCGCACGACCAAAAACATCGCAGTCTTTCTTGCCTTCCTCCAAGCATTTGTAGCCCTCATATTGACTCTCACGCTATTAGCGATCCTGGCGGTTATATACTCTGTCAATCCAGACTTGGAAGAGGAACGCCGTGCGCTGGTCACGCCGTGCATGCAGTGGATAGCGAGCTGGGTGATGGAGTATGGATCTTTAACGGCGTGGATTTTGAAGCTCCTTCTGGTTCTCGGTACTGCTGGGCTGGGAATATTTCTCTGGCAAGGGTCTACGACCGATGTTGTTCCGGAGGTTGAAGGCGAGGGTGATGCTCCTGAGGATATTGAGTGAGGTAAGTTCACATATCTCAATAGCAAGTATTTCATCAGTAAATAAATCTCTTAGGTCACAATTTCGATATCAGATACCGTCTCAACAGTTACCGCAAGAATCGAGGCCCAAGTTCAATTACATTACAACTGTCTGCAAGATACAAACTTCAGTTTACAACTACTTCATCCCTGATGCTTAAGGCCTGAGTTTAAATGCCATCACTCGTAAACGTCACTGAGAGTTGCAACCAATACAGCGAAGGGAATTTATTCAGAACACAAAATATAGGGGTCCATCTTATAAGCAATCTCTGTTCTCTTCACTACCTAATCAGAAACCTTTCACCACACATACATCAACCCCTAGTGCTTCGAGATCTTGAACTTCTGGTTCGATCCGTTATTGCCATCCCAGGTCATGAAAGGCGTGTAGTTCGAGGTGTCGCCCTGCCGCAAATCGAGATACATGCCGTCCTTCAGGTTTCGGATTCTATTTCGAAAGTCAGTTAAGGTGTCGAGGGCAAAAGCAGGACTATCTTACTTGAACACGGTGTTGTTGTTGATCGAGTCAACGGTCGTACCCTCTAGTTCCCATTGCGCTGCCTGGTCCGATGTGTCTCTACCTGGATCGCATCGAGCCTTTTGGTTACGTCCTATATGACTGTAAGTAAATGCTCCGTAGTGGGTACTCGTGTGTACATACCAGCAGACCAGAGAACATAGTTGTTGCGCGTGTTCTTGATGATTACGACATTGTTGCGACCACCAATAGAATATATGTCCCAGGTCTGATTGTTATTGTTCACCAAGGAGCTGTGTGACAACAGTTAGATGGTTATTTTCCTCTGTCAGTATACTGGGACACTTACTAGCATTGAACAGGCGTACCCGATCCTCCTCCGTCAGTCAGATCAACCGCGATCTCCCTGTTGCTAGGCGCTTGGCACTTGATGTTGCACTTGAACTTGAAGATTGGGATTGACTGTAGATTTCGGATCTGCTGCTGTAGGTTATTGATCTGCGACTGCAGATTGTTGATCGTGATCGACTTTGCATTGGATTCCTTGGTAAGGTTGTCAATTCTAGTAGATTGATCACGAATGGTTGAGTCCTTGGCGTTGATCTGGTCTTGCTTGTTCCTGACATCTTGGAGGGCTCCGTTCAGCTTGGACTGTAGATCAGCGTTGTTCTTCTCGAGCTGCGAGATTATGGCTGTTTTGTCCTTAGTCTCCTTCTGCAACTTGTCAATATCCTTCTTCTCAACTTCGAGCTCAGCTTCAAGTGAGGCAACGCGGGTGGTGAGACTCGCGATAGTAGCGCTAGCAGTAGCCAAACTAGCCTCTGCCGCAGCAAGTGCTGTTTTGGTCTGGTCAAGGTTCTTCTGCACCTCTGCCTTCGAAGCTCGTTCGTATTCAAGTTGGGCTGCCAGTCTGTCAATGGTCTTGTGGTCGTCAATATCATGCCCCTTGTCTTTCTTGATCTGGTCCTCGTCTTTCTTGATTTCCTCGTCTTTGTCCTTCAACTTGGCTTCGTAGGTAGCTCGGGCTTCGTCAAGTCTCTTGGTCAAGTCGCTAACCTTGGCCTTCTCAACAGTGATGTCATCTCCGAGCTTTTTGACCTCTCGTTTGAGTTCGGCAATTGCAGCGTTGCGCTCCTCAATCACCTCGCCTCGAAGATGGAAATTAGTGTCCAATTGATTGAATCGCTTACTTATTAGCCAATACCCAACTAAAAGGGTTAGTTATTGTTACTCACCTCATGGGCGTAGTTAACAAGGTATCCAGCTTGATCGGCGTAGGCGACCGCATGCTTCAAGTTCTCGATGATTCCGATGGGAAAAGGAAGAGGTTCGAGGACACGAGGGAGTGAGGGCCCAGGCTGGGGCAGGCGGACTTGGAGTTCGGCATTTTGAGGGGGAGGGAGCGGGGCATCCCATTCACTAAATCCTGATTAATATTGACCGACGGTTGATCACTCAGTTGAGACGGGCATCTTGGACTTACTGGGTGTGAGGGTTGGTAACTGCCAGGAGCTTGTACTCGCCTAGATCACCGTCCGCCTCTTGTCCCTTCATATGTACGGTAAGGACATCGGTTTTCTTGTTCCAGTTGCACGTGACTTCATAGCCGGCGTAAAAAGAGAACCAAACACCGTTGTCGTCATGAGAAGCAATCTTCTGCTGTGAAGAGTGGAAGTTTGACACTTTTTCCTTGCCATCGCTGTCTTTAGTCCATTGCCACATTGCATGCACAGGGCGTCCTTCACCGAAGCCCTGAGGGACGATAAATAGGCAGAACTCATTAGTCGCAAGCGTGGTCCAATTGATCTTACCCAACCAAAGACGGCCGCATTCCCTCAGCCACTCTCCCTCTGGCTGCCAGATCCGATTAAACTCCATCTCGCTCTTGTCCCCGTCACGAGAGATAACAAGATGGAGCTTCTCATATCCATCACTAGATGTCATCTCCCAATTGAAGTAAACAGGCTCGGGGGTGAAGTTATCGTCACCTTTCTTTGTTTTAGAGACCTGGTGAACGGGAAGTCTCTGGGCCAGGTTGAGCTTCTCAGTTTGCAACCCGGGGTGACCTTTAGTCCATTGAGAAAGAACCCAGACAATATCACCAGTACGGATTGGCCTGGATGGTAGGATGATCACGGCTGTCTCATCTTGAGCCCACTGGCCCCAGTTGAATTTGCCTTGATAAATGAACATATTGATTTGGATTCAGAGATGCAGCCAAAGTTTTGAAGGATAGAGAAACGAGAAATAGTTGTTTGTGTCTGGCTCAGAAAGAACGATTGGCGTGATTCAGAAGCCAGGTTATATAGCCGACAGCAAAGAGTGCATCTGCAAAGTCTATGCAAATGCTATGACAATAAATATCCTATTTTGCTCCCATCCACCCAATCGAGCACTTTTCTGAACTATCTTCTGCATTATATTACTAGATCATAGTTGACATGGATTTGTGGCTTGCTGAAACCAAATTAGGAAACCTCTCGACCAGTCCAGCTCCATCCAGCAACAACAAATCATATCTATTGCTCAAGGTTTGACAGGCATGCCAAGTATGCAACCTTTACGCTTTGACACTGTTGACAGACTAGAACAGGATTTTACCCCGCTCGTTACCCAAAGCTAGCTTCCATTATCGTATCATAGTTGCAGGCAATCAAGCTTTGGACCCTTGCTATCAATCAATGTACAAGTCGAACGTAACAAATAATAAACCGTCGCTCCTCCTGCAACGATTGATACGGTTATCTCAGCTAAGCCCAACATCTTCAGCAGTCCTAAAGGGGCTTTCAGCTCCCAATTAATCGTTTCATAGGGAAACGATCGGCCTACAGGCTTATGCACGTCGGCGCTCCCGGCAATCCCGGCGCTTGCAACGGGGCCTGTGTTGTCGGCGCCAGATACATCATGACCATCGACATCATCGCAAAAGGAAGAAGACACAGAATCACAGATCTGAAGCTGTAGCCAAGAAAAGATAGCTGTCAATTTCTACATTGGAAGCTATATACAAAACAGAACTATAACAGGAAATGAACCGAACGGCCCTTATGAAACAGAAAAGCAATACATCAGCTACGAAATACCTACACTAAGAGCTACTACTTACTTCTATTGAACGGCCTGGCGTTTCTATAAGGGTAACTCTCCGTGATTACAGACTTTGCTTTTTATTTTAGCACATCGCTTATACGTCTATGTTCTGTCGCATCCGTGAAATTGAATCTAATATATAGCTAATTTTTCAAGATCCTCCAATTCTCTACATTATTATTGTAATAGTCTCAAAGGTAAAGGTAGTTCGTATCACTCTCCTCCTCGTGTAAATCGGCAAAAGAGACGATGTAACTCATGAAGCTGACTGCATTCATTAGTCTACATTTCAGCCACCCTACGCTTTGACACCATGTTTTGCCTATTCGATAATTTCCTGGGTCATTGTCGTATCATACTTGCAGCTAACTTCTCCATACATCCTACGATTCGTCTCGAAGGATCATCATGCAGGGTCCTTCTTACCGGTCTTTCCGCTGTAGAAATGATATTGAGTAAAGTGGAGAGCTGATGACCATTTTAGGGTTGCATATTTGGGCAGATACCATGCGACTGGATATGATTTGCTGCTGGGTGCAGCTGAGCCTTTTCAGCTATAGTCTTACAGCAACTTACAGGAGATGGTGGGGGAAAGTGCTGGATCAGGCAGGCGAGTGATAAACAGAAAAGCGTTGAATCTTCAGAGTGAATGATGTCTGACTACCTATATAATCCCTTTTATATTCATGCTCAACCCGCGTCACCTGGATAAGGCCCCAACTGTTCAACTTCTTCATTAATTACCTGTGTTGTTAGTTTTACTTGACTTTTCATCTCCAACATGTTTGTTTACGAAGGCAGACTCAACTGGGGCAGTTCCGCTCGCGATGAGACAGCTGCCATTATTTTGCCTTCTGGCACGATGCGTGCCGGAGACCCCGTCTTCATCCTGTCCCAATGGACCCGTGATTCCGGAGGAAACAGGAAGGCTCCTCTATCCCAGAAAATAACTATCGACAAGGTCACCAAGACTGCCAATGGTAACGACACCTTTGAAGTCAAGCCAGGTTACTACAGATGGAACATGACCTCTCGTGACAACTACGACAAGCTTGACTTTGTCCTATCCACAGACACCACAACAGCTACAAGCCGTATGGAGTTTAAGCGCGTCTGGAAGCCTGCAAACCCACAATCAAAAGAAGCCGGCAAGATTTGGGTCAGCAAACTCACCTGGCCCGTCTTGGCAGACAATGAATTTTGCCTATTTATTGCCCCAGAAGGGTTTGGCGAAGGGAAGCCTTTCCTCTCAATGTGGCAGTGGCCCTATGACAAAGATCTCAATGAAAGAGTGCCTATCTTCCGGACTGGGAAGCAGAGCATTGGCATGCTTGACAGCACCTCTGCCATGTTCACCTGTCAACTGGACTCTGACTACCTGGTTACCTGTGCCTGGGAAAAGACAACTGATGTCCTTACTGTCTTTATGAAGGGGCCCGAAGGCAACGAAGAGGTAGGCGAGTTTAAGTTATTTGCAAATACCAAGCCTCGCGACGAGGTTCCAGATTGCAAAGACGAAGTTACAGAGCTGAAGAGAAAGATTACGGAGTTGAGTACTAATCTCACTGCTGAGAAAGCAAAGACTGCCAGCTTGACGGCGCAGCTTGCTCAAGCCCAAACGACCTGTCAAACTGAGAAGACGCAGAAGGACAACGAGATTACGAGGTTGACAGCCAATGTCTCACAGCTGGAGAGGGACAAGACTATTCTCCAGACCAAACTTGACGAAGCTCTTCGCAGCAAGGGCGAACAAGGCCAGAAAGATGAAAAGATCAGTGAACAGGCTGGTCGCATTGCCGAACTCGAGAGGAAGCTTCAAGGCCGGCCTGAAATCTTGTTCCGTACCTGGTTAAGGAGTAGGGTAACACATGGCTACAGCAATGGTAAGGAGTACTTGCTTCAATTGACCAATGCAGGAAATTATGAGGGCAAGCCCCCTGTTTCAATCAGGTAAGTGCCGAAAGACTTACCCTTGATGGTAGTTGTCTAACTATTTCCATCAAGAGAACAGAATGCTCGGTATATAAGCCCATTGTGGGAGATTTATGCTGTTGATGGCTCTAATGATGCTGTCATAATCATGAGCGGGCCCAGCGGCTATGTTATTTGGTCTAAGGGTATGTATCTATATTATCTCAAGTATTCAACACTGACCAATAGCTCTTTTAGGACATGAAAAGAAGGCCCAAGCCTCCAAGCACGACCTCTCAGACCCTGCAGCACATTGGGTTCTAGAGGGCATGAAAAGAGATAGCCCTAGCATGAACAAAGTAATTAAGTCAGTAAACTCAACTACCGTTCGTTATTAAGAGTTTAGCTAACTGCAAATAGGATCCGAAATGTCAAGGATGGTACATATCTCGATGTGAGAAATGCGCATGCGGCAGACGAAACTCCTGTCATCACACAAAATGGCAATAGTGGATCGAGCCAGAAGTTTGAGATCTACTTGACTTGGCAGTATTAAAGGGCATCATGTAATGGGGGAGAGTTAATTAGTATAGTGATAAAATGAATTAGAAACTTTAATAATAATTTTATCCTTTGGGCTGTACCTAGCCTCAGGTTCGAGATCAACAACCTCAAACATAGGTAGTCAGGTAATTGATGGCAGAGGTATATTCATGTGAGTTGATATTAACGATTACCAGGTTCAAAAGATGCAAAGAATACCCAAACTCGAAACAAACGAAACCTGTTTTAAGCTAAATATCATTCTGCCTTTGGTAAAATACATGCCGACATTCCGACATTACGAAACCTCTTTTTCCTGTGCGCTTCTCTGAAGCTACCGGACATAATATCAAGTGATCTTTCTTACTTCTCCTCTGCAGTGAATAACTCGGGAGAAATGGTTTTAGGCAACCTTTTCCTTATCGTGCTTATATGGGATGAGCTGTTCATGAGACTTCTTTACGCAACGACTAGATATAGCTTGCGAAGTGTATAGAACACCGTTTTCAGGTACCAAGTGTATATCAACAGAGAAAAGCTTGCTCCTTTAAGGATCCATTTGGCAGCAACGTCGACTTTGCAACATATTGGCGGCTTTCACGATGGATGCAGGTCATCAGCGCCACTCATGCATTTGCCACCATCGCCCTATCGACCGCTCATGTAGATCAATAGTTAATAGCTGGCTCATTCTCAAACTAATTCACACAATCCGCGAACGGAAAATTTAAGATAGCTCCGTTATTGTTACGGAAGCTGTCACAACCGCATTTGTCTACTCGATCGACTTTGGCCGGTCTTTTTAAGACTTTTTATCTTTTCCAACTTATGATACCTCCCCAATATGTCGCCATGTCCGGTCCGCCGAAAGCATCGAAGATTCCTAGGTGACCGGGCCACATTTGGCCAGTAAACTGAGACATCAATGGTTAACTCTGCCTCGCCCGAACTCGAGTCTTTCTCATATTCATACCACCCCGGGCGATGCACGATAAATGGGATCATTCTTCTTTGCTGTACTTCCAGATAGCAAGGGCCTTGAAAATAAACATCAATCCGCCCAATCGTGTAGCAGTTAGCCAATGCCAAAACTCACTATCGACGCCACAGGTGCCGCGGCTTGCAGTCAGTCATCCTTTTCAGCTTTGATTAGCTCTCTTGCCGCTGATTTAGGGATCTTTTGCCCCATTAGTCCACATGCAGTGTTATTGTTTCACAGGACACGAAATTTGGGTGGCTATGTCCGTCACAGCCACGGCAAATGTACTGTAGCTTTTGACCTACAAGTTCTCCCTTATTTGAGGGGCATTCATCCCAAATATCTTGACTACTTCTGCATCCTTTCTTTCATAGGCACGATGGCGGCCTTTGGAAAATTACAAGCTGCTCTGGCAGCCGCTACAAACGAGGTTACTGTTGCAGCAGCCAATATCAATTTCGACTTTACACTTGTCAAATACGAGGCTCCAAAGGAGTTTCGCCCTATCGAAGGGTACCTCACAACAACCAGGAAGCAAGATGCAGAAACCGGAAATTCGCACGTCGTAGCTCGCCGGCTAGGTGCACTCTTTAGTGGAATTTGCCCGGACTCGCCTAACCTCATCCGCGCGTATGGTGCCAGGGTCTCGGAAATCTCAAAGACAGCAACCCAGAAAGAATCCCAGGAATACTCCAAGTCCATTTTTGCTTCCTACGTCGGGGTTGATGCGACTTCTATCTGGGCTGCTGCTACATCGTCGACAACAGCTATTCACGTCCACCTGCTGGCTTGCATGCTAGCAGAGCTTTGGGATGCATCTGAGGCCACTTCAATATGGGCAGAGCTTGTTGTAGAGCGACGAAAAGAGATTGCCTATCGACTTGAGCAGGGAGAGGCATTGCATTTTGGTCTCGCATCAGCTGCGGTGCAACAAGAGATCACGAGAGATCAGCTTGCATCTTGGGATGCCAGCGCTCAGGCCTGGATCCAGACTGGAAAATCTGTTATGAGCAAGAATGACGCCCAGCTGAGACTCATTCTAAAGAACGTATATTTTGCCATCAATCCCAGCGAAGCTCCATTTGTCAGTGTCATTGACGCCTGGAAACTAGCAGTTGAAATTACAGAAAAGTTGATAACTGGAATACCTCAAGAGGCGCAAAATGGAGCCGCCATTCTTGGTCTCTCGGCTTGGCATATCTATCCCGATATCCATGTCTATGGCAACAAAAATATCAAAGTAGCCATGAATGATGAGCTAGTTGGGGCTGGTGGTATACTCTCGCTTGCATCATGCCCTTCACAACGAACCGAGTCACGAGGAGTTTATTGGTCTCTTTGTCTGAGCCATCTCGCCTTCTATGGTCCTCCGGTGAAACGGCATCAGTCTTTAGAGAATGATGCTCGTCGAATCCCATTTGCCAATCTACTTCACGCCACTGTAGGGACTATATTGAGCCGGTGGAGAATTCATCCCAGCGATCTGGTCGATGGGATCAACATATTAGCAGCCATTCTCGACAACATTGCCGCCGGAAACCGCAGTCTCCATTCAACGATGGCTCTGATCAGTAACGCTGCTAAAGAGTGTCTGAATGACAAAGAGGCATGGAATTATATGTCATATGGGAAACGACGATCTGGATTCATCAAGGACCCAGATTTGCGCACAATAGGTGCCATCAAGCCATTCTTTGGACTGTCTGATCTTTCTATTCTTCTTTCTTGTATTCCCCAGTTGGATGACCGGGTCTCGGTACTGAATCGACTGGCTAACAGAACGGACTTATCAAATGAGGAGGTGATCATATTTGACATAGAGTCTTCCACCGATCACGAAGTTGATCCAGAGAAAGCGCAGTCTACCAGCACAATACCGAAGCGCCGTAAGAAAATGGTCGAACAAACGGAATACAAGGTTATGAGCACGCAGCTCTTCCGAGGGAAGGGAAGGAATGTTTCAGTGTTCGATTTCTGGATAGGGGACTCCTCTTCCACCGCGATCTACAAGAAGCAGACTCTGAGTTCACGACTGCAGATCGACTCTCCCGTCATAACCGTGGATGATCTGAGATGGTGTTTTAACAACTCATTGATCTGTCCCGATAAATTCGTGAGATATCTCCATCGCCGAGACGTAATACTCAACACTATTGCCTCTTTATCTTTCGCTTCGGAGGTCCTCAATCCTCTCCCACGTTTGTTTATACGGACCCAATGTCTTGAAAAACCCCTTCTGGATTCACACTGGGCAAAAGCGGGTGACTATATTGAAGCTCGATACGACTCGTCTTTAAATTCTAGACTCAAGGACTGCTTTCCCAGGCGAAGCAAGGACCTTCCGCGTTACATACAGTTTCAGGTCTTGGCGCATATGGTCTGTGGATATGATATTCACCACAGTCTCATTTCCCCTCATATCATGGGTCTATCTTTTGAAGATTCAATCTTTATCCCTGCCTCGGTAATATTACTTTGATTCCTTTCTCAATTATCCAACTAACCTCCTACATTAGCTCGTACATGACCCGGGAGAGAAAGTCCCATATTTGACAAGAATTCTAGGTAATATTGGTCGTCCGGGTCTAATAATGTTAACTGCCCCTGCGAACCCCATGCTTGCCTCTTTGGACGAACGCGCATTCAGAATCTCGAATCTCCATAGCTTCAACGGGAAGCCAGAAGATATGCTCAGTACCACCTCATTACACCTGTCGTTCACTGATTGGAGCCGGCCTTTAGCTTCAGGTGGGGCCTCAGGTAATCGAGACGTTGAAGGCTCGCTGATGGAAGCTGTCGTCAGTATCAAAGACTCAGGCCAGTGGGTAGGAGACGTCGATATCATGAAGGCACTGGAAAGTGACATGATTCACCTTGCACAGCCAGATAACAAATGCTCTCATGCACCTGGCTCTGTGCCGCGTTTCATGCATTCGATCGAGTGTTGGGATGAATTGCGAGATTGTCCTGAAGAACGGTCAGTCATTCGAGCCAGTGGCAACTGGGTAGCTCGCCTCGCAGCAGTGTCGTATCTCGCCCAAAAGATGGATACAAAGGACATGAGATCCTCAAGGATCTTCATCTGCCCTGATAACGTTTGCTGGGCCTGCCGAGAAGCAGAGAGTAACATGGATGATATTTTTATCCATTAGATTGTGGTATTAGTAGGCCTTTTTATGTTTCGCAATGCTGAAGTGCCCAATACACTTATCGAAATTCTGCATATGAGTTTCCTAAATAGGAGTCTGTCTCCTCAAGTTCCCTGCGCTGATTCAAACTCGCAGCCACAATTCTGGACTGCAAATAACACGTCTAGTTAGAGTCCATTTTCCTCTAAACTTGATCGACAACTCAGCATTGACGTGCAAAGCATACGCTCGGTATGAGACCTCATCACATTTCATAGCCCGCCCTACAGCATTTTATACACCTCTAATGCCAACTTGATAACGTTCACGGCAGCAGAAGCCTTCCTGGGTTTTCTTCAGTAACACCTATGCGCCAAGACAGGCCTAGCTATGCTGATAAAATAGGATAATGTCGATAGTTAATGTGTAAAGGTTGTAGAGGGCGAGCTAGCATTTCTGGAATCGTTGCTGAGCTAGATGGCGGAGACGGGCAAGAGGGTGAGGTTCCTCATAGACAAAGCTTATTAGTAGCCAGAGGAGTGGTGAAGCCTGAGATGAATTTTCGGGCTGGAAATGATTCCTAGTGAGGACTGTTGACTGCTTCAATGGACATCCTATGTTATAAGTTTCTACCAAATAGGGGATGCTAACGTTGATATATATACCGTAGGTTCGGGGCGAACTTGCTATACAAGAGAGCCCACTTTATCACTTAAAGCGTCTAGAAAAGCAATTTCGCATAAATAAGCCTGATTAAATTACAGTCAATTGCGATGTCTATGCTTCTTACATTTCCAGGGTGCAATTAAGGTTATTGAGTATCCGCCTCGCATGGGCTCCTTACACGACTACATCCCTGCCTATCGCGTTCAGCTTCAACCAACACTCAAAAGCATTACATGCCCAAGCATGATAACAGAACCCTGCCTCGGGCTGGTCTTCTCGTGTATACAGGAGATGGATGATACATGCTGCTCAGCTTGGCAGAAGAGTTCGTACATCGGCCACACCGCTAAAGGTGCAGATGCAAGGAAGGTGCTTTATCTGTATACGAATACGCCAAAAGGAACGGCAGCTTACTGCCAAGGCCAGGGAATGTATAAGGTATTTATTCCCCGTATTACGCCAAGATTTCGCATGTCAGCATGCGGATCAACAGGGGCTGGTTTATGGGTCCCATGCGCTGGCACGGTCATTCACGGCTCCCAAATCCCTCAAGATACGAAAGACCGAGAACATTAGATCGCGCACAAAGTTATCATACTATTGCAAATGATCTCACATTTAAGGCACAATGTTGTTTTGATTATACTTCACATTGCCTGCCAAGCGCCGTCCAGATGCTACATTGTCTGCGCGAGAGCGGGCACTAGCTCCATATTACATCTAGATGGCGGTAGAATCCTCCCGTCCCAATCCGTAAGGCTAAGTCGACTAAGGATCTTTCCGCCACCTTATTTAATTCAAATTTAACGATTAGTGAGTAAGAAGAAAGACCATAGTTTCACCAATCGGATCCCCTACATTACCCCAGGGTGACGGAAAGCAGGGGATAACGGAAAGACCCTTCGTTGACTTATCCGTCGGCCCAGTTTGATGCCGAAGGCAAGTGGATCTGCCGTGCTCTGAAGGATTTAAAGGATTCGGTATTTAGCCAAAAGACTTAACCGTCCAAGGACTAAAACAGGACATATCTAAATCTCATAGAAGCAATAGTTCGGCTTGATTAACTTGGTCTAGAAATCTAGCGATCTCCGTACCTTTCCACGTTTGGCAGAATAAGCAGGCGTTGCAGGCTATTAGACAGGGGTATGTACAGCGTCTTTGAAGCATTTGTGCAAGCGAACAAGGAAACTCTTCCTTCGAAGCGGGGGTACGTTCGCTATGACCAATAGGACTTCAACCTCGCAGATTCTTGTAAAAGTTCCGCCTGATGGGTCAATGAATTATCTACAGTTACTAGAACCGCGTAAATACCCTCGATACGAAGTATACGAGCCATCTTGGCAGACCTGGGCTTGGCTCATGTCGGTCACGAATCTACACAGGAAAGGAAGGTGCAGGTCAGATACCTTCGAGAGCAGAGACCTGCAAAAACTATAAAGACCACAACCTTTCTCGCTTTGTTTTGTGTTCGACAGTGTAAGCGACAACGAAATCCTCAAACACTGGTCTTCTCCTTCAAACTTCTCTACAAATCACCCAATACTCAAGATGAAGGCTGTGACCTCACTCGTTCTTCACTGCGCTGCAGTGACTGTCGCTGCTGCGGTAAATCTAAAGCCCCAGTCTAGTCATGAAGACAATCAACATTGTACTGACTCACCTTTAGGCTCTTCCTGACGGTAGCCAGGTGGTTACTGACCCTCTGGAGGGTTATGAAATTGTACCGATGCAATGGAAAGGCTCTATCAAAGAGGGAGAGGCTCCCATTTCTTTGAATGGCACTATTGAGGTAAGACATCTGCGAATACTTTTAGCTGTTTACAACTCTACTAACACTGAGTGTCAGTCGGTTATAGCTCAGATTAAGGAGCTTAACCCGGAGTTCGAATTGCTGGAGGACGATACGGCTGCTGTACCCACGATTGAAGAGCGCAACCCAGTAAGAGATGTCTTCATTGCTGTTTTCTTTAAGCTATATATTCTAACAAATAATCTAGTCCAACATCATTTGCAATGTCGGCGGGCACGGTTATGTCGATGTGCAAGCAGCTCGACGCGAGCAAAGGTACCTTCGCTCCTTGGGAACCAGTGTATGCGGTGTAGGTGGTGGCCCTGGCAAGTGCGCTCGCGTCTCCTGTTCCTATGGCGATGCTATCTGGCTTTGCAACGATAACAGCTTCTACATTGAACCCCGCTGCAGCTACTTAGCTGACTATGTTGATCGCATTATTGCGGCGTGCCAGTCGAAAACCAGCAGCCCGCCTTGTACAAGCAAGCCTTGCCCTCCTAGCTGGACTGCGTACTTCGTTCGGGGCCAGCAATTCGACACTGATAGATACAACGTTATCGTTGGCAGAGACAACTGCTAGTTTGTCGATCGGTCGCATCATGGTTGTGTGAATGACTATGATGAGCGCTATATCGGAGCCTCCTGTGAAGGCGGGAGGCCTGGACTCAGGTCTCGCCAATACGAGACATTGAGTTGCTAGACTAGATTACATTCTTCCGATGCCCTGTCAGGCCCTCGTTCCAATGAAAACACCCTAGATTCTCAATTCTTCATAAAATAACGATTCCATGTGAAAACTTAGAGACAGGCATCTCATATTGGTCTTCCCAGTAATGGGAGCTTGTCACCCTTGTGTTACAAAGCTGTCAATCGTGTAATAACCGGCCTTACTTGGCAAGACAACCTGAAGGGCTTGTGTTCAGGCAATGGCAAAGTAATGATAGGACGAGACGAGCTGTCAAGAAGCTTTGAGGCCTTCTCATTCAGTCCTGATAGTCGTAACGGCTTCCGCCAATAACCTGTCGTGCGTCAGTGAGTTTGCAACAATGGAGTGGTAGCTCAGAGCTCAACGCAACAAATGGCTATTAACAGGTGTACTTCTGGATACGAGGATGTACGTTTTGTTTTGGCAACGACCCCAAGCTTGATGTCTGGGCCATTGGTTAGTCCTATTCCTCGTATTTGAACTGTGAGTTCCGTGATGCCGTTAAGATTTATGTAGGAAACGACTTTCATATGCTGAAATCGCTACTCATTCCCCATTAGTTACATTCCATTAGTCTTATTATCAAGCTCTCCTGCATGCAGAATATATAGTCACAGCCCGGGTTCAGTCCGCGGATTCGAAGAACTCACAACATTATCCAGGAAGAATAATAAGTAGATTCGATATGGTATAAGCTATAGAGACCGGCATATATCCATTATGAGCCTCTAAAATACCCGATAAAGAGTTTGCCAGGTATACCATTAACGTCGGAGTCACATACCCAAGAGATATTTCAGGGGCCGCGTTATCGTAACCTGAGCATCTGGGAAATTCACCGCCGGCAATTTCTGTTCATGGTTACGTTACTATCGGTACTTAACGAGATGTTTACTTTACTGTTTTTGTCATTGGTGGGTAAAAGCGATCTTGGACTTGAAATACTGGAAATGGTCCTATCTTTTCGTATTAGTGAATTATCCTTCAATCACATTTCAACGGCAAGTTTTAAGAGACAAGGGTATGGTTTTAACATAACCTTATTTTATACCAGTTCATTTAATATTATTCTAATGCCATATATATAGCTTTTATGTTCTGAATCTTATTATATGTCGGTTAATTATAATCTACCTTTACGAGCTTTATAAACTTAAAACAAAATTTATAAAACACTTCTACATTCCAGAAACACCTCTTTGTATCTTCAGCAGTAAACCAGACTACATCAAGTTCACACACACTCAAGACGTCTTTACCCCCTTATCTTAAATATGAATCCCAAATACCTCCTCTTCCTTCCCCTTGGGCTTGTTTGCGCCAACCCACTTGTGGCCCGAGGCAAGAATAATGGTTGCCCTTCCGCAAATGGCGGGTGCAGCGGCGTTAGTGATATATTAACTTAACAGCTCTTTTTCTAACATTCGTATAGACATGTATTCACACCGGAAACGGTGATTTTTGTCGCACCCAGTCAAAGGACGCGACATTTGATTTCCTCTGTGGTAGGGTAACTAACAGCAATGGTCTGTCACCTACTGACGTGAGTACATAATTACTACCATAACTATTAAAAAGGCACAATATACTAATTGTTAATAGTGTGGGGGAAAGTCTGGTGCATACTGCACTGCATATGGAGATGCGGAGACCTTCTGCCCTTACTGGGCTTAGAGGTGCGGCGATAGAATGTTTGGTGTAAAGGGATTAAGACTATTGTGAGAGAATAGTCAGTACTATCAGTTATATCTTAAAGTTGCCTCAATCATAATAAAGTACCACTTTTTCTATTAACTCGCTTGCAGATGTCTTCTAAAGTACAATTAACGCAGATTCAAGCTCCAGGATCAACCTTCACTTGGA